CTTCCGAAACCGAGAGAAAAGGCAATTCGCTTAGGCACCGTTTAATTGATGCAGTTCCACCTTTAAATTCAGCAAGTGACGTGCAACATGCTGCAAAAATCCAAAGGCCGGAAGAGCAAACCCGTGATGCTCGGATTTGGTAGAAAGTGTATAATAGCTTTGTTATTATAGATACCCTTACTCTAGGGTTGGTTTCTATTATATCTCGGATAAGAACAATCATATCAACAGCAGAAGCAACATTACTGCCTCTTAAGAAATCCATCAACAGATGTACCACTGTGCTCGCCACTTCTGGGAACTTTATTGCACAAGAATGAATAGCCTGAATAAGCATCTGCCTGTATTCACTATTCTTTTCTAGCTCTCCAGTATGAGTCTTGACAACTTCCCTTTTCAAAATAAGAACAAGCTCATTAATGTTTGTGCAAGTAACCAAGCTAAAAACAATGTCTATGGTCTTCCTCCTAATGTCAAGATTATGACTAGAAAGTGCCCTCAGCATATCCAGGAACATATCAACTACAACTTCTCTATGAGAAGACTTTAGCTCAGTGAGCCGATCAAGAACAATAAGCTTCACATTGTTGTCACTTTGTGAAAGAAGCAGCTGATAATAGGTATTGGCAGCAGCTCTCCCCTGCTTTCCACGGTTTGTTCGACATAATTTTCGCAATAACAAAATGGTTTGTGGGATTGAATGGTTGTAGGAAGGATCAGATGGGAAGTATTTATTGGAAAACCTTTCCTTCATCGACTCAGTTATTGCCATATTGTTTTCTCTCCATCTCTTAGGCAATTCATCAAACAGATCCAATGCAAACACATTCTTCTTCACAAATTTACCCACAAGATTCGAGAATGATGATACCATTGATAAGACCCAATTCTCAATTCCCTTAATCAACCTGCAAGTAGCACAGGAAAGCTATGGAAGAAAAGGGAATGAGAGATGAAGGAGCAAAGCTCCAAATATTTTTGTATTTAATTTCTTTGTTGTAAATTCTGATCTGCCACATTTGAGGGAGCTGGGCTCCTTTTATACAGACTCTACTTCTTAAAACGCCAGTTGTCATATTTAACAATTCTTAACAATTCAATTAAAGCATAAACCTCAATTACATTTTGGGTTCATAACACCCTCGGTACCGTAATTGAGCATGAGATGGAAGATCTCCGAGGGCCGCTTCCATCCCAGTCCCCAAGATTGAAGTTTCAGGTTGGATTTAGGGGAGAAATGTGGGCCTGACTGAAGTTGCAGGTTGGATTTGGGGGAGAAATGTGAGGGTTGAGGATTAGGGTTTTTTGAGGAATTAGAATTGGGATTAATGGCGGGAGAGAAATCCAGACGGTCTTATGTCTTGAGCTTTGGAGTTCTCGGAGAGAGAGACAACAAACCTGAAAGTCGAAAACGAAGGGGTCGGGGAAGACGATTTCTGGGTTTTTTTTTTTTTTAGGGTAAATATTATAATATTTTAAATGTATAAAAAAATATACTTGCCACGTAGTATAAATGTGGCAGTTACGATAACTCTTAACGGATTAATGGATGAAAAATGTAATGGATATATATGAAAGTGAAATGTTTTTAAAATGTTGTAAGGAATTGAAATCGACCCCAAACCTTGTAATTTACCCAAAAAAAAAAACTCCTTGGCATAGGATGATGATATTGGCGCCAAAGGGAAAAGCTCCCTTATTTTCTTGCCGAATAAATAGCCCCATTTCACTACCACAAAAAATAATAGCCCCATTTAAGGATTGGTCTTGCACACGCTTTTAGTTCGTTTTTTGTTTTTGTTTTTTTTATTTTTATTTTTTTGTTTTTTGCTTTTGTCCTTTTTTATCATTAAATAAAGTTTTAATTGTTTTTTTTATTTATTAAAATTCAAAGTTTTAAAATTCTTTTTATTAATTTTCCTTAAAAATTACTCATGAAGAAAACTTATCTATTTTGATCATCTCCAAAATGATGTCCGCCTTTGTGTAGCCTGGTGGCTTTGTGTTCACATAAGATCCAACGGGTCAACAATTTGATCGGCACCAAAGAAAAGATCATCTCTAAAGTGGTAGGATTAGAAGGAATAAGTTTTCTTAATGTCTAAATCTCTTATAACCTCCTTCAAATGTGAAATCATTCACTGCTGCCTTTAATTTGCCTTGAAATTAGTGTAGATTCATTTCAAATCCTAATTGTATCTTACTTACTAAATGGGCATACTATGGTGAAGCGATATTATTCTCTACTTATAAATATGACGTCTTAAATTCAACTACCTCCAATGATGAATACAACATCGATGACTCATTGAGTGACAACTCAACACCCCAATTCGTAATCAGAAAAAGATCAAGTACAGTCTTTAATTTGCCTTGAAATTATTGTAGATTCATTCAAATCTTAATTATATCTTACTTACTAAACGGGCATACTACGATGAAGCGATATTATTCTCTACTATTAAATATGACGTCTTAAATTCAATTACCCTCGATGATGAATATAACATCGATGACTGACAACTCAACACCCCAGTTCGTAATCAGAAAAAGATCAAGTACAGTAGGGGGAATCTAGGACGCCGGGAAAAGGGCACTATCACATGTCATAATTGCTTTGCTCACGGCATGGTTGGTGGAAACGTTACGTTGTGGGGATGACGCAGCCCAATTATTCTGCTAACCGCACCCTAGCGGAATTGACCATTCTACCACTGCTTTCCAACACAGATTTCGACCCTGCAAGTCAAAATATGCAGGTTCCTAATGGGTATTTTTGTCAATGCGTGTGTTCCTTCCTCTCTCCTCCATCAACGACTCCTATAGTCTTTGTCAATAATAATATAATATAAACAGTCGAGCAAGCAACGCGCATTTCAGGTCCTCATCTTTCCCTTCCGTCTAAAGTCACAAACAAGTTGAGAAAATAAGCAATGCAGAAGAAAACAAAGTGATTACGTCTACACACACACAAACATAATACATTTTATATATATGTGTGTGTATACCAGACACACACACACAGAGCAAGGGGTGGTTAAGAGAGAGAACCATGGAAGGAGGAGGAAAGAAGAGGAAGATGGAGGATGAAGAGGAGAAGATTGAGAAATTTTATGCGTTGATTAGAAGTACGAGGGAGGTGCGCCAGCTTCTCAGGGGCAATTCAAATGGGTTGAAAGAGAAGAAAGATGAGAAGAAGGAAGACAGCAAGGCTGCCGGGGGTTGGAACCCGACATTTCAACCGGAAGACTTCCTTGAGGATGTTAAGATTTCTGGTCATCATGGAGGAGGTTCCTCTAAAGCAAAACAAGAAGAAGAAGAAGAAGAAGATAAGAAAGAGGAAGATAAAGAAGGTAATGGTTTAAACCTAAACCTTTCTTTGTAGGGCATGGAGCTTGTAGTTTAGTTTCATGACATTCAACCTTGCGCCTGAGGTCCCGACTTTGATTTTCCTTCCTCCTACAACATTGCTTGTACCGGAATTTTTTTTTTTTTTTTTTAAATGCTTCTTTGTAGGCACTTTGTTCAGTTTTCTTTCTGGGAACTTGGGTGGTAGGTCAAATGAACTAACATTGCAGTGTATTTTCTTCCATGGTTTAGTATTGTTGTGCTTTGAAAAAAAAATTGTTTCTAATGTGATGTGAGAATAAGCAGCTGTGAAATAAAACAGTTGTTTGGTAAACTTTTTTTGTAAAAGTGCTTTTGAAAAAAAAAAACAGTATTATAATGTTTGGTAAACTTTTATGTAAAACAGATGTGAAAAAAAAACTGATTTTTTAAAGCTGGGTTTTGCATCTTCTTGTTTTTGGCTTTTTTCATCCAAAACTGTGAAAAAAAGCTGAAACTGAATGTTTACCAAACACAAAAACAGCTCCCAATTTTTTTCAGAATCACCTCAATACCAAACTAAGCCTCAGATTGGCCTGAGCTTTTTTTTTTAATTTTTTTTGGAAAATTGCCCTAAGCTTTTGTAAATTACTAAGTTGTTTACTCAATGTCAATGCTATGGCCTCTCATAGCGTATTTTCTTTTGGCGTCCTTCTCCCATTAAAAAGTTAGTTGAATTTGTCGTAAAGTTATTGGATTTGACGCGTTTTTTCTTTAAGATGTATTGTTATCAAGTAGACACTACTTCAAATTATTCAAGTAGAAAATATCTTCTTGGATCATAAACCATCACCAGTGGTAACCACTACTTCTAGCTTGAAATAAAGAAGTAAGGAGATAAAGGAGGGATGTAATAGCATGACATCAGCAAACTAAACCAACCAACCATGTATGACTCATTCAACCTTTGAAAATGCAAAATTCTAGAGTGCTTCGTAGTATGAAATACTCTTGTTGTTTTAACCGTTAGATCTTAATTTTTGTCTTGTTAGACAAAGATCACGGTTAAAGCAACCGATAACCGAATGATCTCATAGTCTGCAGAACCGTAGAAAATCCCTTTGAAAATGAGCAAACTTAGTTGATTCACATCAAACCAACACTTGACCCACATTGAAGGACATCACAACCTACAAGGCTACAATAGGTCACACTTAAATGATAGATCTTTTCCGTATATAAACAAAGAAAATTACTCTAGAATGAAAGCTTTGTGCAACTTATTTTTCACTTCACTCATATAAGATGGAGTGTACGATCATGTGAGAGTTCAAAAAAGGTTACTCTAAGCCGAGATCAGAGGCATTGCCGTCTACGAGCAAATCGAAAATCGACAGGAATTATATTTATTTTCATTAACAATGAAAAATGTGAATTTGAAACAAGCTCACACTCAGAAGGAGAAAAAGAGGAGCCTGGTTTAGCTCAATTCAAGTGAAGATCTTTTACCATGATCAATTAGAAATCCTAAACCAGTTCGAACTTGTTTTTGCTGTTTGGGCACAAGTTTTCGTTTTACTACTTTCTTCTTCAGTCTAAAGGGAAATACCTTTTTTCTTCTTTAACATCTTATAGAGGATTTCCTTGAAATAATAAACTGATAGACACCAGGATACAGTGCAAAATGCTTTTGTTTCAACGCTGTTTTCGGCAGCAACCGATGTGCAAACAATCAATAACGGGTTTCCAGCAAGGAGAGAAATCAACAAGTTTATACAAAAATTGTCAATATCAGTGATGCCCTTCAAATATTTTACAAGTATAATTTATTTATACTAACATCCCAACCATTCAATTGGCGGGAAACCTCTTTGACAAACTCAACCATGCATGCAAAAGTGCACTCGCTAGCATGGTAGTTGATAGCAGGGCATAGAGGAAACTATAAGTTTGATCCCAAAGAGATCACCTTAAGCTAGGAACCAGGGAAATTTAAAAGTATTTAAAAGATGACCTTTCTTGAATGAACTTCAGGGCAACAAAAGCTCTATGTTCGCCTTCCTCGGCTGATCTCACTGTGTATCATTCATGTCAAGTTCCAGCCCTGAATCATAAGGTGAACAAACAGTATAACAAAAAGTAAAAAAAAAATCAATATTATGAACTTAGATTGAATATAACATACCTCCACACGAGAAAATTTTCACCTCATGCCATTTTCGCACAAGCATAAGTACTTCAAAACCGTTTCAAATCCAGAACCATCATTGTAGGCCTTACACCTTGAAGTTTACAAGCTTTTTTGGATAGCTAGTGCATACAAGTTATCGTATTTGAAAGTTCTCCCCATGTACCAACAAAGTTTTAGCAAGTTCTCCTCTTGGTTCTATATATAGGTGTCATTATCTGGAAGTATCAATTTCTGTCCTGGTCAATTAACTCCGGTAGGCACAATTCCTGTCTCAAAACCAGACTGTCCCAGGATGTATCCCCATAAGTTTGGAATCACCAATAGTCTCTGCAAGAACACACACCATCCTTAAAATGATGAAATCTGTTAGCATCCCTCAAAACAATCTCTCTCTGTGTAACTTTAGCTATTAATTTAATTGCAGAATGGCAATCCCCACAAACCCGAAGGTTCTTCATCACACGAATTGGCATCCCTTTTGGCACCTTCAGAAGCCCATATGCTATGGCCAATTTCTCACTATGATAACCCAAGCTGTGCGCCTTCTCTTCTTCTTCTACATCATGCAATACAAAGCTCCCATCAGGGCAGTAACCAGCTTCTCTTAATAATACACCCAGTCTCTGTAACTCTCTCATGATCATCTCATGTTCTGGGTGTCCCGTGCTCTCTCCCCCAGTAAACATATGTACATTTTTCTCCACCGCAATCCAGCTACAGCCAGGTGACTTGCGAAGACTTCTTGCTCTCATGTTTTCCCTCACCTCTGCAACATCATGCCATCTACCCTGGGATGCATAAATATTTGATAGCAAGACGTAAGGCCCTGCTTTATCAGGCTCAAGCTCTGTAAGTTTCTTTGCTGCAACTTCCGCCAAGTCCATTTCCTTGTGCTGTCTGCATGCACCTAATAAGGCACCCCAAACAATCGCATCTGCTTCCACTGGCATCCTATTAATTAAATCCATTGCCTCCTTTACTTGCCCTGCTCGACCAAGCAGATCAACCATACATGCAAAATGTGCAGTTCCTGGCTCCACCTGGTACTTTGATTTCATCGTTTCAAAAATCTCAAGACCTTTTTCTACATTCCCACTATAGCTACACGCTGAAAGAACTCCAATAAAGGTGATTTCATCTGCTGCTATGCCCAAAGAGCACATCTCATCAAACACTTGTAGAGCTTTATCTCCTAAACCATGTTGGGCATAACCAGTGATCATTGAGTTCCACATAACAATATCCTTTGCAGAAAACCTGTCAAACACCTGTTTTGCCTTCACAAGGTTGCCACATTTAACATACATTGTCATCAATACTGAAGCAACATATACATCAAGATCAAACCGGTTCCTCACCAACTGGGCATGAATCTGTCGACCAAAATCAAGATTCGCCAAGCTGCCACAAACAGATAGAACACTTATCAAAGAAGGGAAATTCGGCCTTATATCTTCTCTTTGTATCAAAGCAAACAAGTCAAGGGCTTCCAATTCAAAACCTTTCCGTTCGTAAACTTTAATCATCGCACTCCATGTCCGATCATCCCTATCTCTCATATTATCAAAAACTTCCCTTGCCTTAGCTACCTCTCCATTTTGACCATACCCAAGTATCATGGCATTACAAGCAACAACTGACTTAATAGGCATTGCTTGAAAAAGCTCTGAAGCCTCTATGATCCGTCCACACTGAGTGTAACCTATCAGCATTGCTGTCCAAGACACCTCATTTTTCTCTGGCATCACTTCAAAAAGCTTTCTAGCAATATCCACTTGTTGGTTATGCACATATCCAGATACCATCATAGTCCAGGAAACAACATTCCTACGCGGCATCTCATCAAAAATCTCACGTGCTTCAGCCAAACGTCCAACCTGAAAATACCCACCAATCATATTCGTCCTTGCCACGACATCCTTGTCAGGCATCATATCATAAAGCCTACGGGCATCATCAATCCTACCCTCTTGAATCAGGCCACCCAACATCACTGTCCACGAAACAACATTCTTTTCAGGCATTTCCCAGAAGAGTGATTCAGCCTCCGAAATCATACCCTCTTGCACGTACCCTCGAACCATCGACGTCCACGAAACAATATTCCTTTCGGGCATTGAATCAAACACTTTCCTAGCCTCACTAAACATCCCATTCTTGACATACCCAGATATCAAACCATTCCAAGAAACTGTATTCCGCTCCTGCATTTTATCAAACAACCTCCGGGCTTCTCCTGGCTGATTACTTTGGAAGTAACCTCCCACCATTGAGTTCCAAGACACAATATTTTTATCGTGCATTTGATCAAACACCCTTCGGGCTTTCTCAATTTGGCCAACCCGAGCATACTGAGCAATCTGAGAATTGGCGGAAATTGCAATACCAGTGCCATATTTCCGAGATAGAATAAACCGAGCCAGCATTGTTACACTAAATATTGCACTACCTACATAAAGAAAACAATTATTCAGAGTTTACAGAGTAGCTAGAGATCTAGTCTAATAAACCAGTTCCCTTTTTTTCCAACTCAACCTCCACAACAATACACAATTTCATTTTTACATGGAAAATACAAAGTAAAACATTAACAACCATATTACAAGGGAACTGTTATTAGCACTCCAAAAATCTCATTCTATACTCCTTATTGGTGTATTTTTCTTTCTAATTATAGAAAATCTGTAGTGCAAAATGAGATTTTTGGAGTGCCAATAACAATTCCCTATTACAAAATGGAATACAAATTACTCCAGACACAAGCACACCTCATATTCTTTCTTGTTTGCCAAGCTTTAGCTCCCACCCTACAGAAACACACAGATATCAATCATAAGCTAACTTTTGCACACGTAGATTCATACTTAAGTAAGTGAAATTTTATGCAGAAGAATTTTCAGAATGACCAAATTATACAAGCATGAAAAAGTAACTATTCAGGAGATGTATACTAATAAGAAAAATGTTAACCATTCCCATCATATTTGAATTACCAATTTGACATATTGTACTTTGCTAAAAATCAAACAATGACGAAGATGTGAGCAGAAAGGTATGAGAAAAAAAAAAGGAACTTTAACGAAAAGCACCCGGTACTGTTCACTTTAAAGAAAAACCACATTTTTACACTAAAAAGTCAATCCTGGTACTATTCACTTTACCCTTTATTTTGTCCTTATCATTAAAACTCAAAGTTTTCAAGCCTTTTTCATTAGTTTCCTAAAAAAAATCACTTGTTAAGTTTGCTTTTATCACCAGTTACAGTATCATGAAACCTTCAAGCTAATGAACCTCTGAAAAGAAAACAAATTTGCTCCTTCACATGGCCAAGGATTTTAAATGTCACAAGCAACATCGGTTGTCATATCAAGCCATGGATCTTCTTGAAAATGGAAAGATCCAGAATAAGCGGCCAACCTTCTAGAGGGGACCCAGAGATATAGCAAGCAGCAAGGTTCCCCTTTTAGGACCGACTAGAACAAGGCAACTGTTATAGAAACAAACAGTAAACTCTCTTCCCTATTTGCTTGTAATGCTATGTTTCCCCCTCTCACTCTCTCTCGGGAAATGCCATCTCTTTCTAATTTCACCAATGTAATTCCAGCAAAACAATACTGTAATTTCTGGCAGCACTGAACACCGCCGCAATGGCTCAAAGTTCAGCTGATCAATAAAAGATGGGCAAATTCCATCCCCTCTTCATCAGATACCCAAATAGTTATCATTTCCATATCGCACTTCACGGACTCCCCTCTCCTCTGAATGCAACCATGCTCAATACCATAACCATATAATGACCTAAAACTAAACTAAACTACAATCCTAACAACTCTTATCAAAATTCACTTAAAAACCCCAAAAATGCAAAATTCTTTTCTCAAGTCCAGTGGTTTTACTTCATATTTCGTATTTATTTTTCCGGTTATTTCTAAATAACATGACTTTCACAGATGCAATAGGAAACCCAACAGGAACATCAAAATTTGCTAATTAATCCATACGTAGGAATTCAAACCAGAAAAAAAAAAAATCAACGGTCTAAAAAACTGAACAGAGTAAAAATATATGATCTGAGAACAAGAAATCTCACCTTCAAGCTGCCGCTGGTACTGTGTGTTCCAAGCCTCCAACTCTCACCGTTGCCGCTGGAGAAATTTATGAGGGTATAGCAGGAATTCCGAAGCTTTTAAAACCTGCAACCTCTCTCAGTGGTAGCCAGAGTATTTATCAATAATAACCAAAATTTGACACCTAATTTTATAAATGTCATTTTTTATAAAATATTTCAAATATAACAGAAAAATGCCTAAATACCCTGAAAATTAAAACCATTAACATAAGAAACAAAACCCTATTAGAAGTTGAATCGTTCCAAAGAAATCCAAAACTAAATTGAATTTCCAACATGATGAGAATAACAGACTTGTATAATGAAAAGTGTGATCGATATGACAACTGATGTTGCTTGTGAATTCCTCGTCCCATTTCTTATACCCAAAGCAAATGGATGCCATGAATTGATCACACTTTTATATTTATTTTTATGTCTCCAACAGACACGATCGATGATGAACTTCGATCTGATCCAGCTAGCTAGCTATGATAAGCATATCTATAAAATTCTATATATAAATATATATGTTGCTTTATCTTTCAAAGCGTTCTTGTACTATTGTTAATTTTGATTTGCGTAGATGATAAATAAGAGGTAGTGTGATCTTTTGTATCCATTACACTTGTTTTAGATGAGTGATTAGTGAGGAAGAAACTACTACTAACTTAAATGAATTTCAAGAACCATTTTATCAGCAATTCACAAGCAGTTCAAAGATATATAGCAGAATCAACATGCATGTGGGAGCAGTATCTTTCACGACCATAAAAGCAAAGACAGCCAAATGACTCAAAAATTAACAAGCAACAAAACAGATCATTTTAGAGACAGCATAGTGTAGTATTAACAAGCAACAGAACAGATCATTTTAGAGTATAAGCATACTAAAAGTATAAACACTGATTACCAAATCTGCCTCAAAAAGTATATCTGTATGTATATCATGCTTCTTTACCAAATCTGCCTCAAAAGGTACTTAATATTCTTACAAATCTGCCTCAAAAATTAACAACTTAAAACTTAAAAGCAACAAAACGCATTTTGGGGTGTGCCAAATCCAGTTCTCAAATCCCATTCTTGAGAATTAAGTTGGTCTTGCCAGGCCAAGGCCATTGGTACAAGAGTTATCTTTGGGCTGTGACAACATTTAGACGGAAGGAGACGAAAAGAGACCATCAGTTATCTCTGTATAATGTATTTATATGAATCATACAAATTCATTCACTAATTTCGTTTGAATGAATTATTGCATTCATATTTCTTCTCCAAGTTGCCGACGTCGAGGAGTGACGTCGAAGGATGGAAATCTAATCCTAAACTCAGATTAACAGTTGCAGACTCATTTTCATGCTGTATTGTACTTGGCATCATCAGGAATAGTTTCTATGGAAGCAGTAACGGAACTTATTCACGAAATAGCCAAAGTCTTACATATGTTTCATCCAAGTAAATAGCCAAATTAAGAAGAAAAAATCGATTAATCGAACCTGGAGTGGAATCTGGAGAATGCAGAGATGTAGAGACGACCAGAGCAGAGATGACAAGAATGATTCCGTCCAGGCGTCCACTGCACGAGGGAGGAGAAAAGAGATACTGAGAGAGGCTACCGGAAGAACGTACGGCGGAAGAGAGGGGCTAGGAAGAACAACCGGCGAGTTGCGAGAGAGGGTTACGAGAGTGGGGGAGACAGGGATGAGGGTTTTTGTTTTGATCAGATGGTAAATTAGAAAATATTGGAAAATATAAGGGGTTTTATTGTAATAATCTTGAGAATTTTCGTATGTTTGTATTAAACTATACGTAAATTTTTGACCGAAACCAAAGTCCAGTTAGGTAGTAATGAATTTGGGAGGGGGGATGCATACATTTCCTCACTCAGTAACTAATCTGCTTACTTTCTAGATTCAATTCGAACAACTTGTCGTACACCAAAACAAACCCACGCGCCTGCACGCTGCACAGAGAAGGATGTTTCAGTCTCTTCTTCGATATAGATTCGGCAGCACGACCCCTTCATCTCTCAAACGAATAATCACCGCAGTCCCCAATGTCTACAAAACCCACGCACTCTCACTCCTCCCCCCTAAACAACATCTGCAGCAGCGGCGGCGGTGCCACGACTCGGAGGGCACGCTTGGAGGCGGAGGCGGAGGAGGAGGAGGAGGAGGGAGTGGAGAGTAGGATCCAATTGTGTATAATAAAATTAGGTATGTGCTCAAATTTTATTACGTACTACATTTATAGTATTATTCTAGGTATTCATCAACTCCGCCTATGTAATTTTACATTGCCGGTCCCAAGCCCGGATAAAGGAGGAGGGGGAGGGCGTCAGGTAGTCGACAGCCGGCACTCCATGATCACGTCGAATCCTTATGAAAATGAATCCAGAACAAAATCGCGCTAAAGCTAGGGCGTCACCCGTAAGTGGCGCGCTGTGTGGCCCGAGCACAGTGATAAGTGAGCAAGGGTCGCTGTATCTCCATCGGCACCCGGATGCAGTGTTAAATGAGCAAGGGGGCCGTAGAAACTTCTTTTCGAACGACTCCACTCAAAGTTGTTTGGGAGCATATGCTCCTATAACTTTACACGGGACACACAAAAGAAGTACTTTGATCCTATTAGACGGGGAGGGTGAAGAAGCTAGACAGAAGGGTAGAGTTCAAGAGAGCAAAATGCGTTTAGGAACGTGGAATATAGGAACCTTAACGGGAAAATCTATGAAGTAGTGGAAGTTATGGTGAGGAGAAGGATAAATATTATGTGCCTACAAAAAACTAAGTGGTTGGTAGTAAGGCAAAGGATCTAGAAAACTCAGGGTTTAAACTTTGGTATTCGGGCACAAATAGAACGAGAAACGGTGTTGGCATCATCGTGGACAAGACATTGACACAATGTTGTAGATGTCAAAGAGGGTAGGAGATAGAATCATGGCAATCAAGATTGTAATAGGACAAGAACTTATCAATGTGATTAGTGCGTACGCACCTCAAGTAGGGTTGGATACGAGTTCGAAGGAGAAATTTTGGGAAGACCTTGGAGACTTGGTGCAAGGAATTGCTCAGACGGAGAGTTATTTATAGGAGGAGATCTAAATGGACACGTGGGCAGGGAGACAGGCAACTATGGAGGTTTTCATGGTGGCCATGGTTTTGGGGAGAGAAACGAGGATGGGGAAGCTATCTTGGATTTTGCAATGGCATATGATCTCTTCTTAGCCAACACCTTCTTTAAGAAGAGAGAAGAACATGTGATCACCTACAAGAGTGGGTCGTCAAAAAACACAAATAGATTTTCTTCTAATGAGGAAAGAGGATCGTATAACTTGTAAGGATTGCAAAGTTATACCAGGAGAGGAGCGTGGCTAATCAACATCGCTTGTTGGTGATGGATGTACATATCAAAAGAGGGAGACAAAAAGAACAAGACTTGGAAGTGCCCAAGGACTAGATGGTGGAATCTAAAAGAAGAAAAACAAGCCATTTTTCAAAGAGAAGGTAATCACCCAATGTGTGTGGGATAGAGAGGGGGAAGCTAGCCAAATGTGGGATTCCATGGCTAGTTGTATCCGAAAAGTAGCAAAAGAGGTATTAGGAGAGTCCAAGGGCTTTGCCCCACACAAAAGGAATCTTGGTGGTGGAATGAGGAGGTACAAACAAAGGTGAAGGCTAAGAAGGAATGTTGTAAAGCCTTATACAAGGAGAGGACCGATGAAAATGGTGAAAGGTATAGAAAAGCGAAGCAAGAGGCGAAGAAAGCGGTCAGAGAAGCTAAGTTAGCGGCTTACGACGATATGTATAAACGACTAGATACCAAAGAAGGAGAGTTGGATATCATAAACTAGCTAGAGCAAGGGAAAAGAAGACAAGGGACCTAAACCAAGTGAGGTGCATCAAGGATGAGGATGGAAAGGTTCTTGCTACAGAGAACGCGGTTAAAGACAGATGGAGAGGGTTATTTTCATAATCTTTTCAATGAAGGACATGAAAGGAGTGCTTCTTTAGCGGAGTTGAGTAACTCAGAAGAGTGTAGAAACTACTCTTTTATCGTCGAATCCGGAAGGAAGAAGTGGTTGTAGCTTTGAAGAAGATGAAGCATAGAAAAGCAATAGGCCCAGACGATATACCAATCGAATGTGGAAAGTTTTGGGAGAGACAGGTATAAACATGGCTCACTGACCTTTTCAATAGGATTTTGAAAACGAAGAAGATGCCAAATGAGTGGCGAACGAGCACTTTGGTGCCTATCTACAAGAATAAGGGCGACGTACAAAATTGCATGAACTATAGGGGTATTAAGTTAATGAGTCATACAATGAAGCTCTGGGAGAGAGTCATTGAGCATAGATTGAGGCAAGAGACACAGGTTTCGGACAACCAATTCGGGTTCATGCCAGGGCGCTCAACATGGAGGCAATCTATCTCTTACGAAGATTGATGGAAAGATATAGAGATGGGAAAAAAGGATTTACACATGGTCTTTATAGATTGGAAAAAAGCGTATGATAGGGTCCAAGAGACATTCTTTGGAGGATCTTAGAGAAGAAAGGAGTACGAGTAGCATATATCCAAAGCTATAAAGGATATGTATGAAGGAGCAAAGACTGCCGTAAGAACTCATGAAGGACAAACCGAAAGCTTTCCCATAACTGTAGGATTACATCAAGGCTCATCCTTAAGTCCTTACCTTTTTGCGTTGGTAATGATGAGTTACAGGACATATTCAAGATGATATTCCTTGGTGTATGCTTTTCGCAGACGATATAGTGTTGATAGATGAAACTCAGGAAGGGGTAAATGCAAAGCTTAACCTTTGGAGAGAAGTGTTGGATCTAAAGGTCTTCGCCTAAGCCGATCAAAAGACAGAATATATAGAGTGCAAGTTCAGTGCAGATGGAGGCCAAAACGAGTTAGGGGTGAGGATCGGAGATCAAGAAATACCAAAGAAGCGACCGTTTTCGTTACCTAGGATCTATCTTGCAAAAGAACGGAGAATTAGATGGAGATCTCAAGCATAGAATACAAGCTGGATGGATGAAGTGGAAGAGTGCATCTGGCGTTTGTGTGACCGCGTATGCCACTGAAGCTCAAGGGAAAATTTTATAGGACGGCAATAAGGCCGGCGATGCTGTATGGCACAGAATGTTGGGCGGTGAAGCATCAACACGTACACAAAATGGGTGTAGCGGAGAATGAGGATGCTTCGTTGGATGTGTGGGCACACGAGAAATGATAAGATTAGGAATGAGGATATCCGGGGTAGTAGGAGTAGCCGAAATTGAAGGAAAGATGAGAGAAAATCGGTTACGGTGGTTTGGACATGTGCAAAGAAGGCCTACTGACGCTCGATTAGAAGATGCGACTATGGGACAGAGGTTCAGGGCCGAAGGGGTAGAGGAAGACCTAGAAAAACTTTGGAAGAGACTCTAAGAAAAGACTTAGAGTACTTGGATCTAACGAAGGACATGACACAGGACCGAGCACAATGGCGTTCTAAGATTCATATAGCCGATCCACTCAGTGACTTTGTATTTTCCAAGTCTCCAACCGAGAAGTTTTCCTCACTCGAAAAAATTAAGGGAACACTACCCCAACCTACATGCTCACTCATAAAGCTTCAACATACAAGCTTCAACAAAAGAAAATTCAAAGAACTTAGCGAAGAAGGCTTTGGTGTATTTAACACAATACGTTGAAATGAAGGAAAACTTATTTATTGATATCCCGATAAACTACAAATATGTACATATACATGAGTCAAATAAAAAACAAGATGGAGCCTTCACAAAGGTTGCTTAGGAGAAGCTCAGAATCGGTAGAGCCCCAGAAAGAGAAGTATCGGAGGGGGATCTTCGGAGCTTCAGTACTGGATAGAACCCTAGAAGGAGAAGCATCAGAGGTTGATCATTTGGAGCTTCATTACGCAGTACAGCCCTAGAAGACAGGCAATAAATGCCTTTGGAACAAAACCCACAAATCTCTGATGATCAAGTAAAAACCTGACCATCAGTTTCCTTCATCTGGTCAAGCTTCTCTTCTGTTTTGTAGCATAGTCATGTGCGAGCCGGTGCAACTGTTTATTCTCTGCTTGAGCCCTCTAATCTCCTGTTTGAGACTCATCACTTCGGCCGCCATGATTCAACTTGGCGGGTT